CTATTTATGATTTCATTTTCACTTACTTCACTATTATAGGATATCTTGCTTGTTTTCAATTTATATTATTATAAATAATGATGTCATAGAAATCTTGAATATAAACCTTGCATATTTATGTTAGGACAAAATTCTTTTGTCAGATAACGTTCCAGAAGTAAAATTGTAATATGAAGCACAAAGTGAAATTTTAAGACTCTTGAAATCCATTTCCAATTTTTTTGTCCACAAATGTTAAACTTCAATCATCTATTTAAGAAACATTTGTTAAGTTCTGAACCCAGGTCAGGCATAGTGCTAGTCACTAGGAACACAAGTGAACATGATAAAATGGATTTTACCTTCATGTAATTTATTAATTTTATTCTCATTCTTTACATCCAGGAAAACATAAGTAAGATGCTCTGCTGAATACAATATTTCTTGTTATATTTAATTCTATCTGTACCAGCCTGTAGACAATTTTTGTTTGCTCTAATGATGTAGAGGTTGGAAAAATAGATGTCTACATATATCACTCCTTGGGAAAACCCCTACGAAGTCACAAGGCAACATAATAATTCCTATTTTCTTCTGTTATACCTTTAGGCATTTTTGCTTTTGGGGAGGTTCTACTTGGGCTCATACCTCACTAACAAAATCATGACATTACCAATGCCTGAGAACAAAAATAATTTGTATAGTAAGTGAGCTGACCTTCCTAATATTTTATGTCAGTTCATGGACTGGTATTTTTTCAAATAGAAAATATATATATTGTAATGCAAATTTGTTGTTTACATTTTCATACTCAAGGCTATTGATTATTTAAAAAAATATGCAATTTATTTTCTCTCCATGCTTGAATTATGCTGCTGCTTATTAGGCATAACCAGGAAAGTGCCATTAATTTATTTGGTGAGAAAATCAGCATGAGGTCAGGTTTATGCTTCCTGGAGAGTATGTTAGCCTTTTGAGTGACAGCATTCTCTTATTTTGATTCCATTTTTTATATGTCCTTCCAGAATTTATTAATAGCAGTTTTCTCCTTCAGAGGATTACTTTTATAATTATTAATATTTTAAAATTAATTTACAGTCTTTGGCTAGGTTTTTGATACAGTGTTAAAACAAAATATAGCTTTCAATTTTTTGAAAAGAGGCTCAAAATTCTTTCTGTAGGAATGCATTACACAGTTGACTCTGTTGACAGTCATATTTTATTTCACTTCAGGGTGAAGTGATTTATGGTTGCAATATTTTTCCAAGTTACTTTGTTTTAATATTTTTCTGACTCCATTTTTAGTAAATATTTTAAGTATACGTTTTATATGCCCATTTAAAAAGAATAAGTAATTTAAGAATAGGTATTTGTCCTTTCTATCTCCTTAGAAACTCTATAGCCTTTAAAAAACTTTCTATAAATGAAAGTTTTTGTTTGAACTTTTATTTTTTATACTTCATTGCCATAACTTTGTTATTATAGAAGAATTGCATAAAAGGAATGGCCTTAAGATAGTAGTGCAGCAAATAGTAGGAAGTGACATTAAAAATACAAAATAAATTGTGGCATACGAATTCAAATTCTTCATTTGTATGAAGCCTGAATTGTTACAGATACTATCAAATTTTCCATGCTTAAAATAAATGAATTATCAATTCTATGAGTTCTCTAAAAAAAATAAAAATAAATGAATTAATATTAAGTACACCCTACAATAAGGCACATAGTACTTTAACATTCCTATTTGTAATATCCATAGAGACATAGAATCCATAGAGACAGAAAGCAGCTTAGTGGTTGCCAAGGGATAGCGAGATATTATAGAAGAATGGGAGTGATTATTTGAAGTACAGGGTATTCTTTTGGGGAGATGAAATAGTTTAGATAGTAGAGGGAGGTAGTGATTCCACGACATTGTTAATGCATTAATTGCCACTGACTTGTATATTTTAAAATGGTTAATGGTATGTTTTATGAATTTGACCTCAATTTTTAAAAAACTGCCAAAATATGTTTTCATAGCCATTTTTAAAGTATAAACTTATGGGTGAAGATTAGGTTTAAATTGTCATAGATTTTAGAAGTTCAATTTTAAGAAGTCTTTGAGTTGCTTGTTTAAAGTCATTTTAGAACATGGAAAAGTATTTGCTTTAAAAGAACATGGAAAAGTGTTTGCTTTAAAAGATTAATTAATTTGAAAGTACTATTCCTTTTAAAGTGCATCTTTCATTTTTTGAAGTAATATTTACTTGTAAAAATATTCTGTTACCTTGATATTTTTGTTCTAAAACAGACCAGGTAGGAGGACAGGGAAAATAAAATCTGTTTCTAGAGTACCTTGTTAGTCCCTTTCTTCAGCATGATTATTTAATCTCTATGAATTTCATGCATCCTCTCCCCTATTTGCTAAAGAATTATCCACGTAGGGTATGTAGACAGACATTAGTAACACACTCCATATCTGAACATTTATTTCTTCATTTGGGAATATGTCCATATCAAAAGGAAGACAACTTAGATTTGAGACTGTCTTGGTTTTTAGAGAGAGAGAGAGAAAGAGAAAGAGAGAGAAAAGAGAAAGAAAGAAAGATAACTCATGATTGAATGATAGTTTCCTTTCCTTTGGGTTTTAGATTTGTATCTTAAACAGTGTCTGTCTGTCCAATGACAGTTGTATTGGGCAACAGTCCTCCTAGTACTCGTTATCTTTCCATATAGCAATGGAAAAGACAGAAGCCTTGAACTATTTATAACTTTGAAGTAGACAAGAGAAACATTCATAAGAAATGTGAGGAATTGGGTGGAATGTTGGTAAGAGAAGCAGAATTAAATCCCATGAATTCCATTCCCAGATCCGTAGACATGCGTCTGATTTTGTTCCTGATTTAACTGTTGGAATATCTGAGTAAAGACACAACTTTATAATTATTGTGATGTATTTTGAAAACTGTTTCAAAATGAAAACAAAAAAAGTTAGAAGAGAAAAGAAATTTGATTTTATTCTGAGAATTTGAAATAGAGTGATTTAATCGGAACTGGGCTCTGTTTTCTGCCTTTACACTATCTTGCTTTTTGTTTGAGTACAGGCAAGTATGTTATAGCCCTTTTTATATTTCCTCATCTGCAAGTTGAGGATAAAATCAACTACTTCCTAGGGTTGTTGGGAATACCGTAAGGCAATAAACTGTCAGTAAAGGCTTGGAAAAATATAAAGAACTGTGTAAGTAAAAAGAAATGAGATATTGTCATTTGTAGGTGTGATTAGCAATAAACAGTGTTCTCTCAAGTGGTACAAAATAAATGTCTGAAGACGGCATTTCAATACTAGAACCTGGCATAGATTCTTCAAGTATGAATCAATTAATTAATCCAGTGCATTCCAGCACACTTTTATCTTAATGTGCTTATTCTTTTAAGAAATTCTAAAGCCAACTTGGCTAGTATTTTTTGGACTTTGGTTAGACTTATATCACTTTGGAGAAGTTACACGGTTACTTCCACAGATGGCTTTTCACTAATAACTCTCTAATACATTTTCGTCTAGCTTCTTTTTGGACTATGCTTTTTTGCTATGTATTATATTTAAGGTTAAAATCTGAAATTTCTTGGTTCTTGAGTTATGCTTACAATCTTTCTTTCAGAATATACAAGTTCAAATATGTTATTTTATATCCAGTCTTAATTCCTGTTATGTTGACAATATTTTAAAAATCTGATTAAACAAATTTTAATATTTTGTATAGTTTTTATGTATTTTAGCATTGGGTAATATAAAGTTATTCATTACATTGAAGCACTTAATTTAGATAAATATTGTCATGGAAGATTGTATTTAAGGGATAGTTGTATGTGTTTGTTTTTACTTTTGGTCTTTTAGTTCCAGCGTGTTGTCCTTTTTGGTTTTGTTTTATTGCTTTTTTCTTTAATTTTGCTTACCAGAGCCAAAGCCTTAGTAGAAGAACAACGCCTTTTGTTCCTAGGGTTCAGGTAAAGGCCTTGTCTGCCTGATAGAATCTAAAGTTGTGTTTTAACCCTCATTTGTATGTTTTTGGAAAATGCGTAGTAGGAAAACTTTTTTTGGTATGTTGCTCCAAACCATTTTATTGACTTCCAAACCATTTTATGAGCCAGCTTGTAAAATTCTGCATGGGGATTAGAATACTGAATCAAAATTTAAAGAGACAATCTGTTACTGATTTTATGTGATGAACTAAATACTAAATAAAACTTATAGGTTTCAAAGTAGCATTTAATATAGTTTTAATGTAGATTCCACTTATATATGTAACATTTACAGAAATAGCTAATTTTATACTGTTGATATTTTCCTTTATGACATTGTTTGCTGTCTCTTTAAATCATTCATTATATCACTTAATATCTACGTTCTCATGCATTTTCCAAGCAATAACTCCTTGAGGAGATTGGCAAATAAATTTGTACCTTGTTTAAAATTTAATTTTATGCAATTATATGTAAGGTTCAATTTTTGGAAAGTATATTACTTTGAAAGAACAAAATTACAATCCAAATAAAATGTGTTGGGCTTATTTTGTTTATATTTTGTCATTGTAATTTCACTTAATTTTACTGCAATACTTGGGTACAAGTTGTTTGCCTCTTTTCATTAGGAAACCCTTATATGGTAAAGTAATGTCAGTACAGTTTTTTTAAAAAAGTAGTATTATGCTTTCCTAGCTTTGGTGCATGTTTTTAAAAAATTGTTTGGTTTTGAGTAATACTTATTTTATTTAAATTTTAAAAATTAAATTTACTGTAGCTAATATTGTACAACATAAAATATTTACCTGTGCTGCTCAGGTTCTACTTAGGAATATTAAAAATGGTTACGTGTTAAAACTGGAATGATAATTATATTAAAATAATTAAAATGATACCAATATTTTTATTAATGAAATTGAAGCAGAATAAGAAATATGTCAGAACTAGAATTATGAAGATACATTTGTTATATTTTGGGAAATCAACAGCTGTATCTTAGCCATTTATTTAAAAAGCACAGATAAGAAATTTAGGAATGTGATAAAATAGTCTAGTTATAAAATAATTCTGTTTTGGTGATAAGAGCTGGATATCTATTAAA